TGTAGTATGTGAAATTATGAATGTTATAATCAGTATTTAAGAAGCTATGTTTTTTTTTTTTTTTTGTCACTAGGTTACCAATAGTTTTAAACCGAGTTTGATTAGAATTACTACAAATAAGCAGGAGAGGTTATTTGGTTGTTGTAACATCAGAAGAAGCATGAATTAAGTTGTTTTGTTTGCTCTCTTTATAAATGTATTAACTTTATACCGTATAACTTCAATATTAGTTTATTACCGCCTTGTCAACAGTGAAAGGACAGTTTGGTCATATAATGTATATAATGTCTACAGCTGTTTAACCAAGTGGCTTCTTCTAACTGTTCGTGTCTCATCTGTAGATCTTAATGGAGCTGGATGCGCGAGGGAGTCGGGAGTGATGGAAACACGAATGGCGGACCTCACTAATAATGTTAACAATTCTATAATAACCGCTGGGACTCAGGACCAGGGAGTTCATTTCCAACAGCAATTACTACAGCTCAAACAAGAACAGCAGCTTCAGCAACAGCTACTTCTGCAACACTTTCAGCAACAGCAGCAACAACTAGCAGAGCAGCACGAACTACAGTTTCAGGAGAGAATTAAGGTATGTTGTTGAGAAATACGCTTGTTTTAATTTCAGGAGAGAATTAAGGTATATTGTCGAGAACTGCATTTGTTTGATTTTCAGGAGAGAATTAAGAAATATTGTCGAGAACTGCATTTGTTTGATTTTCAGGAGAGAATTAAGGCATATTGTTGAGAACTACGTTTGTTTGATTTTCAGGAGAGAATTAAGGTATGTTGTTGAGAGCTACGTTTGTTTTAATTTCAGGAGAGAATTAATGTATATTGTTGAGAAATACGTTTGTTTGATTTTCAGGAGAGAATTAATGTATATCGTTGAGAAATACGTTTGTTTGAGTATCAGGAGAGAATTAATGTATATTGTTGAGAGCTACGTTTATTTGATTTTCAGGAGAGAATTAATGTATATTGTTGAGAAATACGTTTGTTTGATTTTCAGGAGAGAATTAATGTATATTGTTGAGAAATACGTTTGTTTGAGTATCAGGAGAGAATTAAGGTATATTGTTGAGAGCTACGTTTGTTTGATTTTCAGGAGAGAATTAAGGTATATTGTTGAGAGCTACGTTTGTTTGATTTTCAGGAGAGAATTAAGGTATATTGTTGAGAGCTACGTTTGTTTGATTTTCAGGAGAGAATTAAGGTATATT